CCCCGCGGCGGGCCGCGAGCGCGAGCCGGGCATGGGCACGGGCACAGGCTGCGGCGGCGGGGTCAGGCCCGGGACCCGGGGGGAAGGACGGGCCGGGACGTGTAGGGCTGGCGCGCGTGCGCAGTGCAGGAGGCTGCGGGCAAATTTGGGCCCCGAACTCCGCATGTGCAGCAAAGCAGGGAAGGTCGGCAGAGCGGAGAGAGGGGAGGTCAGGACCCAGCCGGGACAGTGCATGCAAGGGGCAGGGCAGCGCTGCAAATGCAAGCTGTCCTGTGACTTGGGCCTTCCCAGGCCTGAGCCCCTGTGGCGCGGTGCAGTCCTGCCACTTCTCAGGAAGGCCCCGCAATTAATGACTTCATTGGTCCCATTCCCAGTTTTTCTGTTTGGGAAGAAACCTTTTCACATGGCGGGGGTGTCCTTGTGAGCCTGCTCACTGGGCCCTAGCAGTGCTATGATCTGTGCTGCTGCCTTTTAAGTCACAGTAAACAATGTCCGTACTTCACATTTTAGCAGGAGCTCCAGGACTGTGGATGGGACTTGAGTTCCTCTGCAGGAACTACTCCCAGTATGCAAACAGCCATCTCTGGGGTGGAACACAGCTGCTGTTGAATAACACAGAGCAAAGGGTATACCAGTTTGACACTGGGAAGGTCGCTGTACCCAGTCAAAAGTCTAGGGGGAAATGAGAAGACAGCTCCTTAACAGGAAACTGGCCAGAAAAGTGCTTCAACCTGTGAAGAATACCATAGGGCAGTGGTTCTCAACCTTTTCAGGGTCAAGGCACCCCACCAACACTTTTTGAATGAGACAGCACCTCTGGCTGAGATGCCCTGCTGGTGTTGCCTCAGCTTAACCAAGTGCTGCCAGGAAGGGGCATGCAACTGATGAAATTGCCCTGTGCTGCAAAGCCAGCCTGGGAAGAGCTGTGTCACGTGCAGGTGCTCCCCCTGCATTAGGACTTCCTAATCAGCCTGAATCTTAATGGGGTGCTGCTTTTTCCGGTCTGGTGCCCCCCGTGCTCTCCCCGGAAACTGAAGGGGATGGTTCTACCCACACCTGTTTCTGGGTGGAGCATTGGAGGGATGGACCAGAAAGAGCTGCACTGCATAAGGTGGCTTTGCTGCCTGCTTTAGGCTGATTAGTGAGCCCTAATGCAGGGGGAGCGCACAGGGCAGATTTACCTGGCTGCTGCCTCTGCAGCATCCCAATTAGGAACCACTGCCATAGGGTTTTTAATATCTACATACTATCTGGAATTTAGATTCATATTTCTAAATGATCAGACTGCCCACATTTGGGCATTGTAGTTTGGTATAGATTTAGGGAGAACAGGGCCCACAGCTGGTCCACCACCATTATTTCCTGCAGCAGAGGGACTTTCTTGGAGGTTGTTGATCCACCTTCCAGCCTGGCTCAAGTCTGCTTAGTGAGATGATGTGGATGATAACCAGGCTTTGACGGCTGCTAGTCATGAATGCACCCATACCTTATCCCAGGATCAGTGTTTGTGTTGCATGCTGTGTGCACTTCATGGCCTTTGAAGAGCACATGTGCTAATGGACATGTTCACAGGCACATACATACATTGGTTTTAGCAACTTCAGTGGGTCTCCAAGGGGAGCATTTTTTGAGGTTTGCACAGAGGAGGCTAGGGCAGTGGTGTTGGAAGAGCTTTGGAGAAGTGCTGTTTCTGGTCCATGTTTCCTCTGCCACTGGAGATTCAAGTCTGGACATGCTCTATGACTGGTTGTGGCTGCTGTGGCAGAATATCACTTTTCTGAGTCTTCCAAATATGACCCATGTGCATCTCATGCAGTGCTGTCCCCATGAACCTCTCAACAGATGGTTCCTCACCTGTGGCTGGAGCATGTAGCTATAGTTGTCAGGAACCACTATCTCCTCTGAAGTTAGATCTCAATAAACCGTCCTGCCTATTTGCAGAAATGTCTCCATGAAGTATTATAGAGACCAGAGCAAGAGATTCTAGGAAACATCAGAGAAGTGGCTCATTGCAGGCTGACTGACAATTCTTTTTCAACCCATTTCCTTGCTGCTCTTACTTCCTGAAAGTCTCTGTGCCCCACTAAATGAGATCAGGGTGCTAAGTAATGCTGCTTCTTGTCTGCAAAGCAAGCAGAGTAGATGACATCCCAACCTTCATAGCCCTCCTTTTTCTCCTTAGTACCACACCTGGGGTTGCAGGAAAACAGTTGGGCAAATTTCTACCATGCCAGAGATGCTAGTACTCTGCAGCTTACCCTAGCAAGGTTATCAAGTTTCCCATGGAGCTGGCTGCATGCAGATTTACAAGATTAGGGTACAGGCCCTGAGAAGGATCTCTGTCTAACTCTTCTAGTGGGGGAGAGAGACAAACCACCCTGGGTTTGCTCCACAGACAGCAGGGTTAGATAGAGTCTATCACTGAGGCCTGAAGATATACTGGGGCCTAGAGCCAGATAAATCTATCTGATAGGCCCCAGTATATCTTCTGTATCTCCAGGCCTCAGTGATTAAACCACTCTCAGCTGCAGCTTCTACTTACTCTTGTGGCTAGAAGGATTGAGGGGTAGGGTATTGTTTTTCTATTTTTTTTTCCCCAGATCAGCTCTGAGGAACAAAGGCACATACTGTGGAGAGGGGGTGGAATCTGTCTCTGGCACCAGCCTGATGGCTGAATTAGCCCCTAGAAGGGTAAAGCTCAGGAGTGAGTTGGACAGAGACAGCATAGGTCTGGCTGGTGCTTTCTCAGTTTGTCCTCAGAAGGGTCTTTATTTGCCAGAGGTACAGTGCAGCGATCACACAGGAGCTCCCGGGTGGTCGTGGTTGAAATTAAACAGTTTCATAGACGGAACTCAACCCTACAAACATGCATCTGCAAATCAAGGAGGGGGAAAGGAAAGCTGGATAGTGGGACCATGAGCCAGAAGCCTAGAGGCTGGGAGGGCCCTGAGGCAGGTAGTTGCAGAGAATGCCCCATAAATGGCAGGTCAACCCCATGGCCCATCACAGCAGGACCAGGGCTTCCTTCCTGTGTTTAGTCTAGGGCCATGGTAAGGGAGCACAGAGTGGATGGGCCATACCTGGCCACGGGCATGTAGTGGAGGGCTGTCATTGAGTGGACCAGGCTGAGTGGAGATCACAGGACTCTGAGCAAGGCTGCTGTTTCTTTTCTTTCCTACCTGCAAAGAACTGATGACCAACTCTGCAGCAGTCTGCACCTAGGAACAGGAAGGGAAGCTCCTATAAGTCCTAAACTTATTAGAACTCCTTAAACTTAAGTGGGGAAGTAGGCTTAGCCTACACATAGAGCCTCCCATAGCTGTGACCATGTGAAATGCAGTGCTGCTAATCAGCAAGTCCAGTGGCTTATTTGCTAAACCCCTGGTACAGGCTACACCTTTGCTCAGAGGAAGGGTAGATTCTGAGCAAGCTCCTTACTATACATTCTTCCAGAATATATGTTGTCTGGAATACTTGAGTCCTTAAGAGATTTCAGACTGGATAATCTGGAATTTCTACATAGTGATGGCAAGCCAGAACACATTGTCAAATGTATGGCGTGAGCTAGGACCTTTGTATGCTGGATGATTGGGATGTCTTGCAAACAGCTTTCCTTCAGGGTGATCTATAGCTTTCACAAGCACAAACTGCTTAGGACATCAGATTGATAAACCCTGTCAATGAGAAATTACTCAGTAGTCAAGCACAAGGGAGACCCAGCAGCTCAAACTGATAGACAAATCCGAAACAAACTCAGAATGTGCCTGATCAGGCAGTTCCAGTTATGTATTCCAGGCACTAGAGTCCAGGCCAGACCATATGGCCCCTGAGAGGACTGAAAACCTCCTCATACTGAACTCTGTTCAGCAAATTGCTGGCTCAGATTGGGGGCAGAGGGAATACAATTGCACAGGAGGTCACACTTTGATAGGTGAGCATGATACATGTGTGTGTGCACGGGCACACATGCAATGGTATTATATAAACATATGCACATACACACATAGACATACACTATAAATACATATGCATCCCAGGCGGTATATAAACACATGTGCACCACAGGCACACATAGTGTGTACCATATAAATCTCACGCAGGCAAAGACACGAGCAGACACATGCTCTGTCTCACAGACACACACTGCTCAGTTTACAAAGACAAGCAGCATTAATCATGCATGCCTGTACTGTAAACTGCATGATCAGCCTGAAAAAGCAAAGTTGGCATTTTCAGAAGAAGGGCATAACAGCGCTCTGCCAGTGAACGCTGGAGGGAACCTGCTCCCTCCTGACCAACAGATGGCTCCAGGGCTCCCAGGTTGCTCTACAACTACACTTATGGGGACCAGGCTCAGTAGCCAACTCTCA